TTTTTCTAGACTTTCAGTATGACATGTTGATGATTCTGGCAAAGCTCAAAATGGTATCTGGTGGTCCAAACCATTCATCAACATTCTTGAGCACATAGTGTTGGAAGCGCCTATTTTTTGAACCAAGCTACTCAATGCTGAGATGAAAGTATTCTGTACTGTCCTCCATTTCCCCATTTTTCCCATTTCTTTTTCCACTGATCTCCATCTATTGCAGGGGTTATTTGACTTCTTTGATGAATATTTATGGCTAACAAAGTAGTTAATATTCTCCCATGTGTCTTACCTACTGAAGGGAACCCTCAAACCTGAGATCTGCTTGGGGATTGAGTGCCTGCTTTGTTTAGATCTCGCTCTCATCTGTTTAAGTCTCAGCTAACCAGAAAAACTGTTGAAAGGAGGTGATGTCCCATCTAGGTAAACCTGCCCAGACTCTTTGCCACATCTTTCAAGAATTTGCATTCATTTCAGAAGCAGTAAAGAATTGCAAATTGAAAGCGTTCCATGAAGGAAACACTTACTTTGCTTGAGAACAGCCAACAAATTGCAGGTGGTTTCATAAATTAGATTCACCCATAGATGTTTCAACTCAAATATTGTTTCCTGTTACTGATTTATTGAACTTGTCATATTATCTCTTTGTGAAATTTATCTGTTATGAGAAAATCTTATCTAAATAAAGAACTCTCCACTTATAATAGTATTTTTATTCAGTTACTGGCTCTTTCTCCTCTGCTTAAAAACACACGCAAACTTCTCTCCATCCTAAAATTTAAAAAAAAATCCCTTCTTGGCTGCTGTTTCCTACTCAAGTGGATGCTTTATGTTTCTCCTCTTTCTTGTAGACCTCTTTTTCTTCTTTTTTTTAAATTTATTTCTTGCATGGAACTTTTTTCTTTTCTTTTTTTTTAACTTTTTAAAAAAAAAGTTTTGAGGGGAGAGGTAATTAGGTTTATTAATTTATTTATTTTTAGTGGAGGTACTGGGAACTGAACCTAAGACCTTGTGCATGCTAAGCATGCGCTCTACCACTGAGCTATACCTCCTCTTCTTGTAGACTTCTTGAGAAGCCTTCACATCCTAACTTCTCATTTTCTCCCTGATTGTGTAATAATAATAATAATAATAATAATAATAATAATAATAATAATAATAATAATGATAGCTAATATTCATTGAGTGAATAATGTGTGTCAGGCTCTGTGCAGCTTTCATCTACTATTTCATTTAAATCTTCCAAACATCCAACAAGGAAGGTATCATTAGAAGCCCTGTTTATACAGATGAGAACTCGGAGACTTCGAGAATGTTAGTATGTTGCTCAGCAAATCGGAGAGTGAGTAGGGGCAACACAGATACTCCAGTTTCCTCCTGGGGGTGATCTCTAATCATTGCTACTATCCATAGTGTGTACTGTCTCTACCAACTCACCGCAGCCAATCATTGCTTAATCATCGTATCCAAGGGTTTATTTTCAATCTTCATTTACTCAGTCTTCCCATAGCAGCTGCCACTGTTGCTCTTTTAGACAGTTCTACATCCTTCATTTCCCTGATATGACACTCTGTTAGTGCTTCCACATTTTTAATTATTCTTTCTGACTTCCTGATTCATCCTCCTCCCATTCTCACATAAATGTGGGGCTTATCTAACTTTTCTGTTTCCTTTAAATGTCTTCCGTGGGTGATCTCAGTGACTCATGTCCTCAACAATCATCTCAAGTCAGATTCCACTGTCCCTTTCTCCTGAGCTCCAGGTTCATCTCTGCTTACAGGCACTAGAAATATCCAGATCAATCTCATTATCTTTCATTTAAAGCCTGTTCGTCGCACTGCATTTCCTCCCTCATTTTAAAACATACTTTATCAAAACATACAAGCTGAAAGACTGAGGGGCAGGGAGTTTTTTTTACATCTTTTTCTTTTACTTCCACATTTAATCGGTCCCTATATCCTGAGCATTCTAATTTTTAAATTTAAAAATGTGTCCATTCATCTTCATTACCATTCCTGCTGCTTTAACTCTGACCCTCATCCTGTCTCATCCCTTTTGAAGTCAAGTATTGTGTATCGTACTTTATTGTAGCCCCTACAACACCTGACCCAATTTTGTATAGAGATGTAGACCATCAGGCATTTGTTAAGTGACAGATGAATATCTACCCAACACTTACACTTCATGAAGATTATTCTACTGCCTAATACTTGTGCAGCACTTTGCTATCATCACACACTATACTAAATGCTTTACCTATGTTACCTTGGTCAATCTTCACAAATTTCTTTTGAAGTAGGTACAGTTATTATTCGCATTTTATACATGGGGAGACAGACAGAGAGAGGAATTGATTTAACCAAGTTTATACAGCTAATACATGGCAGAGCTCAAATTAGGTCACACTACAGCCTCAAGTTCATACTCTTGACCATTGTACTTTCTAACGTTTCATTTTGGTCTGCTTCTACCTATTACACTGAGGTCCTAATTATTTTCCCATGATAGCTATGAAAATACAATAGTTACTAAATTCACAAGCTTAGAGATATAGATCTGAACCTGAATTCCTATTCTCAGCTTCCTCCAGGCTCTCTTATAATCTTAGAGCAATTCAGAACCAAAATTACATCAGAGTTTTGAAGGAAACCTGGAGATTAAGGTAGGGTCCACTGGCCCAACAACACGTGACATGCAAACAATTAGCATGGTTCCTAAAACTCAGAGCAAAAGTACGCGTCGGGAGCAGGATCTAGACCTCTTGGTGAGTGTTAGCCCTGCTGCCTGGGACCATGGTAGCACTGAGTTGAAAAGACAAGACTGTAAGGCAGGACAAAACACAGTACGGAGCTGCCATTTAAGACAAGGTGACTGGATGGTCTAGACCCAGTGAGCCAAGGGAAAAGACAGGTCCACATGGAGGAATGGATGAATGTCAGTGAAGATGAAGATCAAAAATACAAAGAAGCTGGGAGCTAAGGTGGGTTAAGGCTGAGGGAGGGACAGAGAGCAGCCAGAGGAGAATGTGTGGAGAGACAAGTGTGCATTTAAAACCAAGGTGAAGTCACATCAGGTTTCTAATACTCTGTGGTAGAGAGATTTTTTTGAACTGAGTGTCAGAAGACCTGCATTCTAATTTGGTTCTACCATCCATCAGGAGAGTGTCCCTCGAAAAGCTCCTTAAACTATCTAGAGCTCACTTTTCTTATTTGTATAATAAGACTTCAACATGATGACTCTAGTAGTTACAGAGTTACAAAGTCCAATATGCTTTACACAGTGGTCGACATTTTCTGATCATCATGGACTCTCATTAGGAAAGAAATCTGAGCAAGTAGGAAAGTGCTGCATGGACAAATTTATCAGTTATTTACAAATATGTGAATCTGGACATGTACCACTTCACCAATATTATATTAGTTATATTAAGTGATATTGCAAAGCACAATATACAGGTGGGGTGAGATTTATCATTATAATGGATGGAAATGCCTATTTGAAATAGTCCTAGACAACTTTGATTCTTTTGTCCACTTCTTGTTAGATCTGATTAGATTTTCATTATTTTTCGTATTGCAATTTGGGTGACGAGCTCTTTCTTGGATTCAGGGAAGTGTCAGCAATGTCAATTTCTTACTCACTAGCTCTTACAGATCAATATTATCTTCATTATGAAGTTTCTTTGCAGAAATCTTTTAAAAACATGTGTCCATCATATGAGCATTAGTTAACTAGATAACTAGATAGTACGAACACTCACTTCACCTGACTTCTTGGGTTCCCTCAATAGCAGCCCCTGAGGGAAGGACTAAGAGCGGGTTGTTTTCTTGGGAGGTGACTCTCGGAAGCACAGGGAGGGCGCAGGCGCAGTGAGACACAGCGAGTGGTGATGAGCACGTTGTGCTGTGGACCCAATCCCCGTAGTGACCTCCTGAGAAGCCATGTGGGACATACCTCAGAGCCATCATCGTTCCTGGATGAGGGCGCGGTGAGAGCACTTGCCCACTGACTTTCATCCCCCGTGGTTAATGGGTGTCCCTGGCGGCTTTCTCCCTTCACTTCCGGGTTGGACTTGTCTTTGGCGGAGCAAACACTCGTGGTGCTGAAGAATCAGACAGAGAAGAAGAGAGATACCGGTGTTAGAGGTGGAAGGCTTTTAGCTTGCTGCCAAGTGCTCACCATACCTAGGGTGATCTCAGGACAACTACAGGACGTGCCATCTACAGCATCTGCTCCCCCTGGTGATGGTTAGGATTAGAATTAGGGCCAGGATTAGTGCTCTGATAAACTGAAGCAAACAAAGAAAGGAGGGCACCAGCATCAACTGTCCCCTTTTTACCTTGGGATATACTGAGTACCACATTTTGGCAATCTGTGTATTAAACATTAATAATAAAGTACGATTTCTTTAATGTTTTTAGACGAAATATGTAAATAGAAGTCCTAATATTTTCTTTCCACATTTTGAAGGTCACCTGATACATCACTTGGGAGCCTGCCTCTCTGACCTATGATCAGCTCCCAAGAGCGGGCGACCCAAGGGCCAGGTTCTCCAGGAAGCTGAGATGTACATTCTGGCAGAGGCTGCTTCAGTCCCAGGAAGATAAGCCAGGTGCTGCAGGACCCCGCAAGCTTTATGCCTCCAGTGCAAAACTGTGGGTTTCTATCAGCAGCATAAATGTGTCTTCTCCAAGGTTAGTGTCAGGATATTCTGGGGGCCTCTGGAGGGCGCTGAAATATCAAGGAGCCCTCTTACAGGAAGTACTTCCGTGAGATGCTGACTTTTCAAGAAAATGAACTGGAGTGGGGGTCATAGGTCAGTGGTAGAGCACATGCTTAGCATGCACAAGGTTCTGGGTTCAATCCCCAGTACCTCCATAAAGAACAAAACAAATAAAAAACTCTAACTACCTCTCCCACCCAAAAATAAAATAAATGAATAAAAGATACATTAAAAAAAGAGAACTAGAGAAAGACAATGATATCTTATCTACATATAAGTTGATCTATAAGACAAGTTTCATTATTGTATGATTGATGTTTACAATCACGGTAAAGCTAAAATTTTCTCTGAACATCTTTGGCATCATCACAATTCCACACTTGAATTTAGAGAAATTAAATGAGCAACTTGACATTCAAATGACATTGATTAGGGTAACTCAAATAAGCTAACTCTCTGTAGAAAGTGGTATGGGTTATAAAAAGATGAGTAAAACTTAGTCTCTTACAATATAATTGGGGGAGTGAGCACTGCATGTAAGTAACCATAAAGCAAGGTGGAAAGTGATAAACTCCACAAGAAAAATACCAAGGGCTGTGAAAAATTCTAAGATAGAAAAATTATTTCTGCATC